AATTGTATTTTTGAGGCAGGGTCTCACTAGATAGCCTTGGCTGTCCTGGAATTCCCTGTGTATACCAGGGTGGTCTCAGAGTCCTAGAGAGCTGCCTGCTTCTGCCTCTCTATAGATAGATCGATAGATAGATCGATAGATAGATGATAGATAGATAGATAGATAGATAGATAGATAGATAGATACATAATCTAATCTCCATATCCATATCCATAGAGTCTAATTTGTGTCATCAGATGTCCTTCAGTGTGGGTCCATCCACTGGAGCCTGGTTAACCTACCAAGAGTCTCATACTCAAAAGAGACTGTCTCTGCCCCTCCCGGCATCCATCTGTTGACACAATTTCCTTAGGTGTGGTTGGAGTTTCTTATCCACTTCCTCATCTATGCTGGAATTTTTTTTTTTCTGGTCTGAACATGCATGGGACTCGTGCATGTTGTCAATGTTACTATGCATTCATATGAGTAACTAGTCAACTGTCTGGAAAACTGTTTTCTTGTGGTCATCCACTACCTCGGCCTCATTCTCATTCGGCCCCCTCTTCAATGATCACTAATCCTCGTGAGGCAGAAGTTCGATAGAGGTGTCCTTTTCAGGGATAAGCATTCTGCAGCCTGTTGTTCTCTGTGTATTGGCCATTTGGGGTTTCTGTGTTAATCACTATCTGCTACATAAGGAAACCCCCTGGTGAGAGTTGAGAGATGCATTAATACTGCCGAGATGAGGTCCAGGATGGGATAGGATTGCTGTAACTGAGGAAAACGGCAGGGCACTAGGAAGTCTCAGGGACTGTATTATATCTTGATTCCAAAATCATATACTTAGTGTTTGACCTACTTTTTTATTTTAGTATATTCACTCTCTTTATTTAATTATAGTAAATTACTTACCTCCTGATGACCAAAATTAATACACTTTTCTTCTAAAGCCTTAGCAGTGGATTGTATTGTTTTATGGTCTTTTTGAGACAGAGTCTCCCTGTAGCCCCAGCTAGCCTGGAATTCACTATAGATCAGACTGGCCTTGAATTCACAGAGATCTGCCTGCCTCTGCCTCCTGAGTGCAGGGACTAAAGACATGTTGCCCCACGCCCAGCCCGTAATTTTACTTTTTGAGACAGGGTCTCACTAGATAGCCTTGGCTGGCCTGGAATTCCCTGTGTATACCAGGGTGGCCTCAGAGTCCTAGAGATCTGCATACTTCTGCCTCCTGAGTGCTGGGATTAAAGGCATAGGCCACCACACCCAACTTCTTTTTTTTTTTTTTTAAATTTTATTTCATATTTTATTTATATACTTATGGGGGGGTGAATGTATGTGCCACAATGTATGTGGAAATCAGAGGACAACTTTAGGGGATTGTTTTTCTCCTTCCATCATTTGGGTTCTGGGGGTCAACTTAGATTGTTAAGTTTGGCAGCCAGCACCTTTATCCACCAAGCCATCCTGGTGACCCCATGGCTTTGTAATTTTTAAAAATTGGTTTAATTAAAATAATGCCCTTTAGTTGTAATCAAAACCTTGACTTTATTTTTGCTAAAATCATTTGGTTTCATCTTTTAATTGCTGTTTATGTTATTTGTTTGAAATAAGTCTCATGTAACCCAGGTTGGCCTAAAACTCACTTTGGAACTAAGGGAGGATGATCCTCTAGCCTTCACCTTCAAAGAACTGGAATTTCGGGCATGAGCCACCACACCTAGCTACATGCCTTTCATTTTTTATTACATTTATTTATTTATTTATTTATTTATTTATTTATTTATT